TAACATCGACGCGCGTTCGCGGCGCGAGCATCGCGAGAAAATACAATTTTTTGCCCATGGAGGAAGACCGCGAGACTGCCATATTTCTCGGAAAATTAGCTTTCGCGGAGGAAGCGCAAATTTATTACGGCGCGAAATTAGCGCGCGGGTCGACACGGGTTTATTCCGGCCAAGTAATGCGAGAGTCCAAAGGAGAAATTCCCCGTGGATATGGACCGATCATTATTAACGCCGAGCTTTACGTCGACCTGAGAATATTTCGATATCCCCGGGATAAGCCCGTATTTCCCATTGCGCTTTCCGCTCCGCTACGTCACTGGATTTCAGCTTCCGCGAAACTTTGCTTTATACAGGCGGAACGGGATTATTAAATCCCGTTGATTTCATTATTGCCGCGTCCGATCTCGCGCCGGGAAATATTTTGAATTTTTTGGGCAAACTCAGTGTAAAAGCTAAAATTGACGTCCTCGCTGTCTTCGGTTCTGTTAGAATGCGCTGAATGGCTAGTATTTGGTCGTTTTTTCGTAAAAGGCGCCGTAAAAATCAACGCGCGACCTTCGAGGCGAAAAAGGTTTCGAGAGGTGCATGGTAATGACGTCTACCGGACGTCGTTGTCGACGATTTGCGTCGTCCGCAAAGTGACTCCTTCGCTATCGACGGTGCTGATCTTGCGATATGAATCTTCGATTATTCGCTCGGTATCTCATGACGATAGAGGATTCGACGTCTCTTCGATGTAAAAGAGAGTCGTTTTGATGATGGTCGGAAATATCGTCACTATAAATTCGTAGAAGCTTCGTGTCTTCCGAAAGTCAGCGGTCGATCGATCTCGACGTCGACGGCCGTGATGCAAGGAGAAAAGCCAGCCTCGGCTACTTTGCGAAACCACGCGCGGCATTCCGCGCGGCAATTCCGAGTTTATTACGGAGACTGTCACGAGGGTCGGTGCCTCGTCGTAGCTAGTGGCGAGTTCCTCGGATTTAGCCACAAACGCGGGGTTAAGCCCGGAGAAATCACCAGAGGCCGTCGAGGTAATTACGGAGAGCCGAGCGAGAGGAGCAAGAGCGGACGACGGGGCGGGGAGAGGCTCTGAAGAACTACTCGAGCAAAGCACGGCTATTACCCCTAATCACGAGGAAAACGCGATTCCTCTCTAGAACCGGAGTCTCTCGTAGCGGGATGTACTTCTCGCTGGGAAACGTCGTCAAGTTATTCCGAAAAGGCGTCCGGCAGTTTTATCGCTCGCTAATCAACCTAGAGCTGTAGCTTCCAGTCAGAGAAATAATACGGCTCGATCACTGATCACGCGCGAAAACTGTCGCGAGAAGCTGCGTCTTCCATTCTTGTAATTCCGAGTTAATAAAAAAAAATTCTGTAAAGGGAAGGAGGTCAATACTTTTTCTTCTAGATTAATTAAACTTCTGTAGCTCTTATAATTATTATTTCAGAAGTATATTTTATTTACGAATCCTTTGATCAATTGGTCAAAGGCTGAAATGGATCTAACTAATTGAAAATGAAAGATTTTGCAGAATAGTAAGACCTTTATCTTTATTTAAGTTTTAAATGGATTTTACCTTGATAGCTTTGCAAATTAGAGAGTGACGTTATATAGATATTTAATATCGAGAATTAAGAATAAAATTGAAATAAATAGTAGTTTTTTCCGTAATGTTTTTGCAAAGAAGAGATCAGCTTTAAATAAATCGGAAAATTAATTACATTATATTCTGCGTAATATATATTTTGTTTAATTACTAAAAATTAATTTCAAAATGTAGTAAATTTTTTGCTTGGTATTGTTCGGCAGTATTTTTAACAGTCAGTTTTACGCGATCAAGAAACATTTGAAACATCGTAATAATGAACATCGTAAGATACACTGATGAGAAATCCGACGCCAACCCGAAGTTGTCATCAACGCGCATTTATCATACTCCAGATCGCACGTGAAGAAGAAAGAAGACGTACTTAGTACGTGGCGGGATAATGATCTTTACTTAGAATTCGCATGTTTACCGTGCTGACTCGCGCACGTTTTCGGAATCTCGCCATCCTCCCGTGCGGTTTACATAGATCGCATACCGATATTAAACCGCCCCGATAGCCCGAAGCGCGAGCACTCGGAGTGAAATGATAAAATTGCGAATGCTTGAAGGGAGTGCGAAGAGCGAGGGAAACCTGCGAGGAAACCTGCGAGGAAACCTACCTTCGGGCGAGACACGACGACGCTCGGACGGATTTAGCGCGATCGGCCAAGCGTTTCAATCTACCGCACCGTAAGGACCCATATTCATCTTGTACAGGGTGCTCCAGAAGTAGGACACTTAATATATTCCTCCGCCTTGAAGATATGAGAAGATGGCTGTGATGAAATTTATATAGCCTCGAAGAAACGCGACGTGGCGGAATTCCACTGTCGATGTTGCTCTTCGAATTTATTAAATGGGACACATGTGGTTTCGATCGCAATTAGCATCGTAATAATCGGAAAAACACTACACCATCGCGGAAAATAAGCTGCTCCTGCGCTATATTTTTGAGGCAAAGAATAATATATAGATAGTGCTCTCATTTTCGCTTCGTACAAGATGGATTAAATTGGAAGTATAATCTTTCATTTAACATATTGGATAATCAATCGCGAGGACAGAAAATACAGGGTAAAAATCCTCCGGGCGTGTTCTATTTAATGAATTCAGATCCATCCTCTACATGACGAACAGTGACAGGCGAATAAGCGCATGGCCGTTTCGAATA